TTCACACTGGAGCTCCATCTATTCCTGACTACAGAAGAGAAAACAGATTCAGGGTCAATGACATTCTGGGGAAGTCCCTCTTCCAGCCTTGCAGGCAAACTGAGATCAGACAGAAGTGGATGCCTTGGGCTTTAGATATTTGGTCAGATATTTTTCAAAAACATGTCTGGGTTTGCAACTAGGAAGACCGTTGGGTATTTGTAAAGACTCCCTTCACTGCAAAGGTTGTGCTTGTTTAAACCAGGAGTAGCGACAGCTGGATGGAGTTTTCTCCCAGGAAATATCACAAGAGCCCCCCATGTCCCCATACACCCCTCCCATGTGCCTACGGAAAAGGACCAGGACAACGCCCCCAAGAACACCACTCATTCAGCTGAGAATCTCCGCTCACCAGACACAGCGTTTTTTTCTTAATTTTGTGTTTTGAGCTCTTCTTTTCCCCAGTAACTGCTCTGCTTTGTCCAGCTCTCCCATCCCACCGGGTGTAATCTCACCTGGCCCAACAATTTCACAGTCATTTCAGGTTTAAAATAGTTTGGTTCTGGCGTTCCCTGGTGGCCTAGTGGTTAGGATTCCGGGCTTTTGCTACCTTGGCCTGGGTTCAATCTCTGGTCAGGGAGCTAAGATCCAAAAAATAAAAAATAAAATAAAATAAAATAATTTGGTTCCAGTTTAGAATTTCAGTGAAGGGATCCACTACCCTTTCACTTCGGCACAGGCTGGAGTTGGGCATGGAGGAGGGAGCTACAAAGACGCACCTTGTGGTACAGATGAACGTGGTCTGTTCTGTCTTCCCTACACACACACACACACACACACACACACACACACACACACAGTCCCCAAACTCCCACCTGGCCCTATTAAAGCCCAGGGGATGGAGGGGGTGCTGGAGAGTCTACTCACAACACTGGTCCAATCTCCATAGTTCCTAGTCTGAGGGTCGTTGCCTCCTGTTGGGGAATTACTGGGTCTGGGAACCCAGGGGTGGAGCGGGGGGGTGGCTGGACCCTGAAGGCCCTGTAGGCATAGCGCTCCAGGGCAGTTTGCTCTGGCTCCAGGTATGTGGACCCCTCATAAGAGGGTCGCTGAGTGTTCCCCATGGCTGGGCTTGTTGCTCTCGGAGGAGATGCCCATGTGTCTCCCTCCACCTATTCCCAGGGCTGGTTCTATACTCTCCTGGAGCTACAGATTACTAGAAAGGTGCAGGGGCCCAGAGGAAGCCCCTTATCTAGGGGTCCCACCCTACAGCTCTTCACCTAGTCCAGCATCCCTACAGGAAATTCAGGCTGGACATGGGCCATCATCCCCATGTTCTGGGCTCATCCTCCAACCACACAGTCTTTTGTCCTCTGCCTCTATTTCCGTCAGGGTACGCAGAAGTCGACAGCCCTCCATGTCTGGGAGACAGGAGACGTGGGGCACAAAGCTCCCTCCTTGGAGAGAACCAGGGCAGAAGTGCTCTAAGCTCTTTCATCAGCAGCTCCATCTGCTTTCTTCTCTCGAGTCCTCTCTTAGTGGGAGGAGAGAGGGATTGCCATCCAGGCTTTAAGAGGGTGAGACCACCCTTTACCACACCCTGCTCCTGAGTGGCTGCTACCACAGCAGGCTTTCTTTCGTTTTCTTTCTTTCTTTTTTTTTTTTTTTAACCGGTACGCGGGCTGTTGTGGCCTCTCCCGTTGCGGAGCACAGGCTCCAGACACGCAGGCAGGCTCAGTGGCCATGGCTCACGGGCCCAGCCGCTCCGCGGCATGTGGGATCTTCCCGGACTGGGGCACGAACCCGTGTCTCCTGCATCGGCAGGCGGACTCTCAACCACTGCGCCACCAGGGAAGCCCAGCAGGCTTTCTTTTGAAGCTAAAGGGTGAGGCCAAAGAGCACCTTTTGTCCCTCAGCCCTTTCTCCTTGGTTCTCCTCACTAGGAAGGGACTAGATTTGCTCTGCCCAGTATAGTGGCTGCTAGCCATACGTGCACTTGGGCATTTGAAATGTGGCTAGTCCAAAGTCAAGTGTGCTGTCAGTGAAGGAAACACGTCAGATTTCACAAGACTTAGTATGAAAATAGAATGTAAAATATAGCAATAATTTCTTATATGTTGAAAGGGCAATAACTTAAAAATAATGGGTTAAATAGAAAATATAATTAAAATTAATTTTATCTGTTTCTTTTTACTTTTTTGTAATGGGACTACTAGAAAATTTAAAATGTTATTTGTGGTTCAGAGTATATTTCTACTGGACAGTGCTGGGCTGGAGACCCACTTCAGGGAAGCAGAAAGGGCATCCCTCAGTGTTTTACACCTTCTTGGTCCACTAAGAGTATGAGAGACAAATCCAAGGCATTTGAAATCAGTGCCCTGCTGTGTGATTGGTGCTGGGTTCCTTGCTCAACCTCTCTGGACTCCCTCCATCTCATTCTGTTCTCTCTCCACAGATGGCCTCCAGGCTGAGAGCAAGAAAGATAAAAGCAAATTCTTCAAAGGCATGACTGAAGAACACATAAAGAGCTGTAAGTGATGATTGCTCCTGCCATTTGGGGAAAGTGAAAAAAGCAAAGGGGAAGAATTCTGTCTCTCTGACTACATGAAGGCCAAATATAAGTGAATACCCATACCTCCTCAACTGAGAAGAACAGGCATATGGATATGCTTTTTTATTTTAAACTCAGGTACTAAGTTTAAACTCAGTGACTAATCCCAAAATTTAGAAGTATTCAAAAGTAATAGAAAATTGTAAATTTATTTCTTCATTCCTCAGAGTAAGGGAGGAAAAGGTAAGACAAGGAGAAGATAAAGGCAGCTCAGTCTCTAGTATTAGCTGCCCTCAGCCATAGGCTGGGTTTCTGGTTATAAGTCAAGTCAGGACAGCTCAGGGGAGGAAGACCCACTGTAACAGCAGCCTATGCCAAAGTCATCAGAGATGGCTCTGCCATCTGAGATGGTAACACTAGAGGTACCATTTCTTAAAGGCCCACCATGTGCTAAGAACCCCACATCTAATAGTTCAAAATCCCACAGCTATCCTCCAAAGGAGGTGTTATTATTGGCAATTTACAGTAAGGCCCCTGCAGCTCCAGAGAGGTGAGGTAAATTATACCCAAGTCATGTGACTATTAAGTGGAAAAAACATTAGAAATCATTTTGCCAAAGCCAGAAACGAAATACATAATGCCTTCCAAAGCCGAGAGCAGGACTTAGGGATTCCGTTCCACCAGCAGTTTCTCCCCCAGGGGAGCTATGGGTATTTGCAGATGGTAAGTCTCCATTGTGCTCTCTGCCTTGTGTCCTGCTGAATGTTTCTCATCCCAGGCCCCAGGAAACACTCTAGGCCAGTAAAGAACCTCCCCCTCCTCCTGCAGGCACCGGGACAACCTGAAAGGTTTCCACACTTCCCCATGAGTGGGGGGGCAGTCCTCACTGAGAACCACCTATTCTTGTTCTTATTGATGGTGGCAGGGTGTTTGGTTTTGTTTTTAGTTTGCAGCTTCTAGATATCAAGACCAAAATAGGTTTTCTCGCCTCAATTCCTAGGGTACCTGTCAAACAAAAGCAATCCTAAAATGAACAAAACCTTGGAGCCTGAGTCGACCCCTCCAGGTAGGAGTCCTGCCCCTGACCACTGGTGGCTTCCAGTGGTGGAGTCAGGGAACCTCCAAGTCTACAGGGGGTCAAAATGCTGTCTCCACCCCCAGCATAGATAGGAATGCACTGGACTGGCACTGCAGAGGAAGGAAAGAGAGTAGACTGTAGAAAGAACTTCCTAACATACAAGATCACCCTCCCTGACCAGAGTTAGGTGGGAATGAATAATTGCTCTCAGTTCCAGCTTGGGTTGGAGGGGAATAGAGACAGAGCAGAAAGAGGAACTTAGAGAGACTGTAAGAGGGCCTGGAAGTTGGGAGAGGAAGAGGAAGGACTGTAGCAACTAGTGTTCTTGAGACCTTCGGGTGCTAAGATGGCACGGGCAGAGATGGGGGTGGGGATAGCAGGCATTTCATCCATCTCCTCTTCCCCTTCCCAGAGTATACCTCCTCCAGGAAATAATCTACCACCTGATCAGTTTACTCCTAACTTGTTCAGGTGTGCTTTTGTTACCAAACCAGGTTTGTTTGCCCCACACACAGCAAGCCAAATGCTGAGACGCTGAGGTTTGTAGCAGAGAAAGTTTATTCACAAGGCAGCCAAGGGAGGAAACGGGAGAACAAGTCTCAGGGCTGCCTCCCTGAAGGCGAGGGGCTTGAGATATTTATGGGATCATGAAACAGGCTGGTCTCGGGCATGGGGAAAGATGATCAGAGGTAGGGAAAAGGTGAGGTAATCAGTGTTCTGTGGCGCAGGCGGATTTGGGTTACATGCTTCTTCATGGGATGCATGTTCAAAAATGGAGGTGCTTAGCATAATCTGAGGATGGAGTTTTTGGCCCTCTGAGGTCAAAAGTTGTTCTTCTGACACCTGTGCAGGTCTAGTTTTAGGGTTTTAGCCAGCTCAAACTGGACAAGAGCTCACTCCAATTCCTAAAAAAACAACTTAAGCTTCCATTACTACAGCAACTCATATGTCAGAGGTGTTATCTATAGGGCTGGTTGATGAGTCTTGTGCTATATTACCTGGAGGGTATGCAATTAAAGAGGGAAAAAAGTCACTAAAGGAAGCTTAATCAGTGAAGGCAGTTTACAAGCAGAGGGATTTTAACAAGCTGTTCCCTTATCTATCAGTCTGTAAGACAAGCCCAAGAATTTCTGTTGGTCCCCAGCTTCTGGAACTGTCTGGAGCATGGTTTCACTTTCTTGAGTCTAACCTTGATCCCTCCTGCTGTGTCTAGAGCTGAGCAGCACTTTCTGGCATTGCTGCCTTGCTCTCACTGACCTCTCTTTTCTCCTCTCCTTCTCCCTCAAAGTTGACAGAAGAACTAGACCAGTGCCACCAAATCCCAAACCCTCAACTTCATTCGCCCCACTCTTCCAGAGCCGAAGCAGGGCCTCTTTTGTTTCTTATTCACCAATGCAAGACAGCTCTGAGAACCTGGGGGCCCTGGAGCTACGGGTATTGAAGAGCTCAAGATGGCGCTGGGTGAGTGGCTGAGAGCAGTGAAAGGTCCCTGAGTGGAGCTGGGCTGCGGGAGATGGGGGTAGTGTTGACGCTTTGGAGAAGGAAGAGGGGGTTCTCAAGCAAAAAGAGGAAGATGACCTGGAAGGCCCAGCTTGGCTTCTGCTTATTGCTTTGGCTGTGGTACCCCCTGGTGGATAAAGGAAATCACTATAGTTGACTGCTCCGGTCCCCTTTTTTTTTTCTTTTTTTAAAACTATTTACCTAGGCATCAGTTCAGCCAGGGTAGACTCTAGAGACCAGTAAGGGCTGCCTGGGCCACAATTCACCTAACTCATCCCCATGAACCTGGTCACTCTTTCTCCTCTTCCCCACATTCCCACATCCTCCATCTCTCCCCACCCCCCATCCAGCAGGGAAAATTAAGTAATATTACAGTAAGAAGGTGTGAGATTAGACGACAAATCAGACAACAGATCAGACAACAAATCAGACAACATATCAGACAACAAAGTAGACAACAAATCAGATAACAAATCAGACAACAAATTAGACAACGGGCAGAATGAGGCCCCCATTCCTAAGTCTTTGGCAAAGACTGGAACCACAGCCGCTCAAGCAATTGTAGAGGGCAGATGGGGGCCTTCTAGCCTCGACAAACTATAACTTAATGTCCAAATCCAATTAAAAGTGTGCATGTGTGGGGACCTCCCTGACGGTCCAGTGGCTAAGACTCCACGCTTCCACTGCAGGGAGCGTGGATTTGATCCCTGGTGGGGGAACTAAGATCCCCCATGGCCACACAGACATAAAAAAATAATAATAATAATAATAATGGGGACTTCCCTGGTGGCGCAGTGGTTAAGAATCCATCTGCCAATGCAGGAGACACGGGTTCGAGCCCTGGTCCGGGAAGATCCCACATGCCACGGAGCAACTAAGGCCGTGCGCCACAACTACTGAGCCTGCGCTCTAGAGCCCGTGAGCCACAACTACTGAGCCCACGTGCCACAACTAATGAAGCCCGTGCGCCTAGAGCCCGTGCTCTGCAACAAGAGAAGCCACTGCAGTGAGAAGCCCGCACACTGCAATGAAGACCCAACACAGCCAGAAATAAATAAATAAATAAAATTAAAAAAAAACAAAAACGTGTGCTTCTGTGGTGAGACCGGGGCTGACTATCCCTCCTTCTGCATTCCACCCCTCCATTTATGCCTGTTTTTGAGGGGCTGCACTTTAGAAAATTACTCGAGCTCAGATAGCCTGAGCTTCAACATCTCTTATACAAGCCTCAAATCTTCTTCTAGATATGAGGACCACAGGAAATGGGGAAGGAAGAGGAGATAGTCTCAGCTGAGTGTTGAAATGACACCCACCTCACCACCAATGGAGAGCACCCTCAGAGCAGCAGATGGTGAAATTTAGGAATTAACTTCGAAGAGGGGGAGGGGGGGATAGGACTTCTCTGGGGACAAAGAGGACTGTGACTATGAAGAGAAAGCCATCCTAAATGGGGCTGGAGGACTCGACCTGGGGCTGCCCCTCTTTCTCCTCCTTATCTTCCCGCAGTCTCAGTGACCCTGGATGCGGCCTCGGCTCACCCGGATCTCATCATTTCCCAGGATCTGAAGACAGTGACGCTGGACCAGCTTTCTCAAAGCGGCTGGACTGAGCCCACCGACCCTGAGCGCTTCCATCCGTTCCGCTGTGTCCTGGGCTTGCCCGGCTTCTCCTCCGGCTGCCAGGCCTGGGAGGCGGAGCTCCAAGGGCCCGGGGGCGGGAGCTGCGTGGTGGGCGTGGCCTCAGAGCCAGTACCACGGAGGGGCATGCTGGCGTTGGTGCCCTTAACCGGCTTCTGGGCGCTGCGCATCGCAGGCTCCGAGGGCCAGGCGCTCACCAAGGCCGGCACCCGGGAGGATCTCTCGGTCTGTCCCAGGAAAGAGGGCGTCCGCGTGAATCACGAATGCGGGGAGGTAGTCTTCTACGACGCCACTACCAGCAGCCACATCTACACCTTCCAGGCCAGGTCTTCCCCTTTTTCCGGCTCTTGTTTCCCGCCACCCAGATCACCCTGAGTCCCTAGAGTTGTTCCTTTGTCTTTCTCTCCGTCTCCTCCCCGTTCCTTCCTCTCTTTGGGATATGCTGCAGCTGGCAGGTAGGGTTGAAGCTAGACTTCCAGGCGCAATTTAGGAAGGTTACACTCTTCGGGCTTCTTGATCCAGGCCTGATGTCTCTGACCCCCCTTTAATAAATTTTCCTTTTTTTCTTTCAGTCCCCCTTTCTCCCCAGTACACCTCGGTCGAAAAGAAAGCTTCAAATCCACGAAAAGACTCCACACAAGGCTATTTATTGTCGCACTGTAAATCGATAGGTGATAGTTGAAAACTGCAATGAGAAAGTTGGTTGAGATCCAGATACAGGGGACCAGACAACTGACTTTGGGCTGAGGCTTTCTCCTCCTCCAGCTCATTCCCCGAAGCCCCTGGGTGCCTATGCGGGCTTGACCCATCTGACCTCATCCTTTCTGGGGATCTGAAAAACATGACGCCGGACCGCTGGATGTTGTTTCCCCAGGCGACTCAGTCAGGTCTGCCCCCTCACCTTCTATCCATTTTGCAAATGAGGACTATCTGTGTATTATTTTATGGTGACCTCCAGGATATATTAAGTGAGAAAAACAAGATGGAGAACAGTGCACACCGCATGCTACATTTTACCTAAGAAAAGGGGAAATGTAAATATACATTTGGGGGGGGCTTATATTTATTTTTTAAGTGGAAGGATAAACCAAAACCTAACAAAAACAGTTACCTGTGGGGGGAAAGGAAAACCAGGTGGAAGAGATGGAAATTAGTCATTTCTAAATGTACTTTGTTTTGTATGTTTGGCTTTGGGATCATGTAAATGTTTTACTTCACTATAAAACAAAATTAAGTTAAGACAAAATGAAACTAACTGTGTGTGTAGTTGGTAGCTTAAACCCTCAGGAGTTGGTTACTCCTTAAAGAGGAGTTATTTTAGGTGACTTTAAAATGCAGTAATTTAGCTGTATATCCCCAGTGGGATGTAGCCTAATGACAAAAAGAGGTGAAAATAAAACTTAAATTTTTCAGTTATCATCTGGGTAATAATATTTTTGTTGTTATTCTGAATATATTATATATTATGTACATGTACATATACACACATATATAATAGGATAAAGAAAATAAGCAGTTATATTAAGGTTACCAGGAACTAAGATTTTCAACCTGAAAGATTAGGTTTTCTCTTATGATTATGATATAAAAGAAGAGAAATAAAAACACAGTGATCCCAAATTTGAATTGGAAAATCAGTATAAACTCATTATGTGTTTTCTCTTAAAACATAATAAAATGTATTTCTTAGTTCCCTTCACAAAGAAGGCCTAATATTAATAGCCTAACTGGATACACTGAGCAAGCACTGCTTACATCCAGATGGTGATCTTATTATTTCCCACCAAAAAGAAAACGGCTCCTTGGGACTTCCCTGGTGGTCCAGTGGTTAAGACTCCTTGCTTCCATTGCAGGAGGCATGGGTTCGATCCCTGGTCGGGGAGATGAGATCCCACATGCCCCGCAGCGTGGCAAAAAAAAAAAAAAGTTCCTTAAAGAACTAGCTAATTCTAGGTCTGGGAGGAAAAATATACACGATGATTCCGGAGCATCTTGTCACATCAGATTGTGAGAAAGCTACTGGGGTCATGTCAAAAATGACTCAGGAGCCAACATGAAGGGTTAAAGATGGGATACTTTTGGCATGAATAAGGATAATAACTGCAATTGATTGAGACACATTATATATGCAAAAAATTCCATCAGTTCATCATGACAACTAAAAACTAAACTCATTGGTCATTTTTTGGAGAATGATAGGAAACTATACCACTTTCTGAACACTGGTAAATACTCAGTTTTTTATGCTATCATTCTTGTACAAATATATCTAAGAATACCAAATGGTTGAGGGACAGTTCTTATTACAAACTCCAGCTAATAAATGAAGACAGAATGGAAGAATATCATTCTTTTGTAACACCCAATGAAATAATGGACCTATGCCATAATCATCAGCAGCTGCTAGAAGCATATGTGAAAAGCCGATGGGGAATCTTACAACGATGAATCAGGCTGACAACACCTGAACGCACTGATCAATCCTAACATCATAAAAAGAAAGACAATCCAACATTATGTGCCTTCCAATGTAATACAACAGGAGGTAATGACTTGATAATTGCCGAAAATGATGAGTATAAAACCCATCACAGTTCTGAATCTACCAGAATCATTTAAAAAACGCTACAGAGATGCAGTCAGCAAATCCCAGTCTGGGAAAATTCACAGGACAAAGGACCAGTTTTCTTCATCAGATAAATTTACAGAAGAAAAAGGGTTGGGGGGGGGGGGGGATGAGGGGAGATTTGCTTAAAAATAACACACTGGGAGGGCTTCCCTGGTGGCGCAGTGGTTGAGAGTCCCCCTGCCGATGCAGGGGACACGGGTTCGTGCCCCGGTCCGGGAAGATCCCACATGCCGCAGAGCGGCTGGGCCCATGAGCCATGGTCGCTGAGCCTGCGCGTCCGGATCCTGTGCTTCGCAGTGGGAGAGGCCACAACAGTGTAGAGGCCCTCAAAAAAAAAAGAAAAAAAAACCACACTGGGAAAAGGGGAAGGATGAGTGGGAGGTAATTGATGAAATAAAATTAGTCGTGGGTTGATCATTGTTGAAGGGGTTGATGGGTGCACAAGAGTTCATCATATTATTGTCTCTACTTTATGTATGTTTGAATTTTTCCATATGAAAAAAGTTGACACAAAAATTTAAAGACATCCTGTAAGTGTGGTCTCCCACAGTCAATACTTAGGAGTGAATCTGACTCAGAACCCAAACATTCTTTCAAAGGTGTGAAAAGATTTTGATTCTTACCAAAGATTGGCTTAACCTGGAGGTTAAGAGGATGTATCAAGTTTCCCTTTCAAAGGCAAACCGTCTGCATTTTCTTCTTCCTCATACTCAGAAACCAAAATTAATCTCAAGACCAGATGCATCCTCCTCTCTAACCCTCACCACCACCACCACGCGCAGCAAAACTCTTTCTATAGTGTTGTCACGTGAGGGATCGAAGTTTGACTCAGAGAAGGACCGCCCCTGTTTCCAGGATGATCCCGAAAAAGTAAAAGGGGCGAGAGGCTTGGAAACCCGAGCCAACGGGGTGACAAGATGACCTACGGAGAGCAAGACCCAGGATTTGCGCCAGAGTTCAAGATTATTATCGGTTTCCTCCTCTTCGACTCCCTTCAACGGGGTGGAGAGCGGGGTAGGCGGGTGGGGCGGGCTTCCCGGGCATTTACAGACGCCCGGTTCCAGTTGGGAGATGGCTGGATTATAGGAGGTTTGGCGAGCCGCCCGCCGACCTCTCGGAGCCTGCGCGCCAGTCTCTGCAGTAGGAGGGCGGACCCAGGTGTCAGGCCTGGGAGAGGCAACACCCCAGCGAGGATTCCAGGAGTGCGCACTCAGCCCCGGCCCGGCTTCCCCATCCTGTTCCCCCGGTCGCCCGCGAGGCGGCGTCGATTATATAAGCAGCCGTCATCTGCCTGTTAGGTGACGACTGGGGACACGGGGACCAGGACACACAACCCTCCACGCCCCCAACGTTCATTCAGAATCATCCCTGACACAGTCCACATTCGCTATATCCGGCATTCAAAGCCCGAGTCGTTGACGTCATACACTTTATCTCGTAGTTTCCTTTAATTGTATGCAGATTTAGTTTCCTTGCTAGAACAGGGGAGCTTCCCGGACTGATGTATGTTGATTTCATACTTTCTTTCACCCTCCCCTAACCCCTGACGCTTAGCACAGATCCTCAGTGAGGTAGTTGATAACATTTACAAATTGAAACCATCCTCTAATTCCTCTTTCCCACAAAGGATGTCTTGGCAATCCCACTCAGTTGTCGTGGACCAGCTTCACCTCACCTCCTCCAGGGTGCCTTCCCCAGTCGGTTCCCGGCTCCTTCTGTAGGAAGGTGCACACTCCCAAAGTGGTAGCACTGACCTCAGGAGACTGTGAACTTGAGGGCAGAAGCAGCCTCTTACTCATTCTGGCTTCACCCTCCCACCCTTCCTGCACAGTTCTTAGTGAATGAAGGGACACTGTGTGACACGGTTTAAATCTGGAGAGGTCTTCCCCCCTCCACCCCCACCCCATCCCTGACCTTGAACTGCGACCGCTCCCTCTTCTGTCCCTTTCCGAGAGGAGCACTGTTGAATCTTTCAGAAGCTGACAAACCTGAAGAGGGTCCTGGCCGCTCACACAGTGATATGGCTGCGAAGTCAAGTTGTCACTGAGGTCGAGGGCCTAGATTTCCATTCTCTAATTTAAGGTGTTTTCTGCTCCTCCATGCGCTAACAGTACTAACAACAACTTGTTTACAGAGTTTAACAGTTTACCAAATAGTTTCACACACGTTACTCCATTTGTTTCTCACAACCTCTTGAATTAGGTTTCATTACCTCCCCATATTCCAGATTCGGCACACTGATGCTCAGACTCAGGTCTGTTAACCCAAAGCACATACAAAAGCCATCTTGAAAAGATAAAATACTATAAAATATATGATAGTGTGGTATAACAAATACCATGGTATTGCCTTATACCTTGACACCCTCAACTCCTGTATTATTTTCTTTGGTCTGCTATAACAAATTGCCACAAACTAGGTGGATTAAAACAAGAAAAACTTTCCTCTCGCAGTTCTGGAAGCTGAATGTCTGAAATCAAGGTGTCAACAGGGCCATGCTCTCTCAGAAGGGTCTAAGGAAGAACCTTCCTTTCCCCCTTCAAATTCCTGTGTTCGCTGGCAATCCTTTTCCTTCCTTGGCTTTCTACAAGCATCAATCCAGTCTCCCTGCCTCTAGACTTACCCTGCTCAATCCATCCTCCATGACAGAGGCCAACATAATTCCCCCCCTCCCCAAATTTTCTTACAAACATTTTCAAACAGAAGAGTTGGAATATTTTACAGGGGCCACCCAAATACCCACCAC